CAATTGGCTAAACATAATCTCTAAAACCAAATAGTACAGTAATATTTCGATCATCACATCACAACAAAGAATTGTGTAATAAACTAGTAGCTGTGAAATATGACACAACAAAAATTGGGATACCCAACTAACAATAGAGTCAAGTTTCTAAAATTTCAGAATTCAACTTAATGAATTACCGGAGTGGTAGGCTGGTTAATGAAAATAAAATTTAATGGTGTTTTTATATTTTTATTTAAACTCATTTTTTTGTACCATCTAAACTTCATTCAAATTTAAATGACCTTATGGTATATTATAGAGGGGAAACCAGATGAAATTATTTTCTTCTCCATTTGTTTACATTTCTATCGAATTTCTAGTTGTATATTGTAAATCGAAACTGAGCTAATCGAAAACTAGTTAATTCTTAATTTGAGTTTCTTAAAAGTATTAAAGTTTCAAAAATTGTACGACTATTCTAATTCGATTCAGTGGTGTACTATTGGAACTTTATATGAAAAGAATAACAAAATTTATAGGATAAAACAATTCATCAGAGGAGTGACGATAGTAAATTAGCAAGAACAGCAATAAAATTAAATGAGATCCATATTATTTCACCGACAATTATTTCATAGACATCACATTTTACCGACAATTATTCACCGACAAGTTCATTTTACCGACAGTCTATTTGATCGAAGCTCATTTCACTGACAAGTTTTTTTTTATAAATTACACTAACTTTAATTCTAATTCTACCTGCCCTAATGATATTGACCAGAATTACTTTGTCTGTAAAATGAGTTTTGGTGAAATAGACTGTCGGTAAAATGAATTTATCGGTGAATAATTGTCGGTGAAATGTGGTGATTGTCAGTGAGTTGATCGGATCCCAATTAAATGTGAGGTTTTTATTATTATTTTATTAATTTGATAATTTTAATACTCGAAGGTTGTTTTTACATTCAAGAAAAATTGAACCCCTTTTATAATAATGAACTCCAATCGGCTTGGCCTTTCTCTAATCATTACTCTTACTAAATTCTTTATTTCTTTCGCTCATTCTGTATATCTCTTTTCCCTCCTACAAATTTCGATATATTTTCTTTCTTCCTGAACCTTCTACTTTCTATGTTTATATTATATCACTAGAACCTTCTATTGATGATCTCTAAGCCTTGTATATCATACACATAATATGAATAAAATTTTTCTTTACAATTAACGTTTCATGCAGCGCTTTATTACTGAGCTGATTGGCAAAACTAGTGTCAATTCTTCTTAAAAAGTCTCTTAATTTTGTAATTTCTTTTACAAAACTGGTTACTGCTTTCTATGTCTCATTATATACTTGTAGAGTAATGTATCGAATGTTTCAATTAATGTTGACTATAATATAAATAGGCTCCAGGAATTAACGTTTCTTTCTTATTAAAGGAAGAATTGGATTTGCTGACTTCATATACACCTAATTCTATTCCAAATTGGTGAATTATATCCTTACAAAGAAATTTACCATCAGGACATATTCAATTACTTCTACTGATATTACTATTATCCAAAATAAAAAAGTTTTCTGCACTCAAATTAACAAATGTTAATTTCTCACAAATAGAAGGCGCTATATTTAAAGTATTTTCGTTATTAGCTACTGAGGTTGATGATCGTCTACTATTGCGGTTTGAAGAATTAGATGATGATGATTTTGTAGGTTGTGTTGAAAGTATTCATGTGTCTCTCAAGAATCATAATTTACCATAATTATAATTTCAAAGTGTTAGGTCACTTTTTATTTTATATGGATAAATAAAACCGGTTTGTCAGAGCTACTGTTAAAACCGAGTTAGCCAGAACTTATACTCGAATTTTATTAACCGGTTCCAACCTCTAGTCAAATAGTGCTTTCTAAAATTGTCTGAAACGAATGCGAAACTGCAATGGATACTGCTGAAAAAAATGTTGATCATAACTGCTATACGTTGAATTACATCAACTCTAAGGAAAGCCTTTTGAATTATCGTTATCAATTTAATTCGCTACTTACAATTTAGATAGAATATAATAAAGTATAAATACAAATGTAATAAAGAAGAACTCGATGAGCGAAACAAATACTATCATTAGTCACTACCGCAGATGCGAAGTGTTACGTAGTCTGGAAGAATTAGGTTACTTAAATGGAATCACGACATGTAGAATGCAATCAAGACTTCAAAAAAGGTTTATAATATGTTTATAATAGTGCTCGGCAAAATCAAACAAAAACTCGATTATCGAGTTTTGAATCTATCAATTTACAATATTGGGAATTAAATCCAAATTTTATTTTTAGTATATATATAAATCTAGCAGGAATCCGAACTTACTTTAGTCTTTATGATAACTAACATGAAGTTTAAAGTCAGATTAGAGCAAAAATAGATTTATAATTGAAGCACAATACTATAAATCAATAGATTCAAAAACTCGATAATTGAGTTTTTTGTTTGATTTTGCCGAGTATTAGTTTATAATGATTATACTGTATTAAAAAATCTATTGCGTATAATAATTATGTGGAAATAATTATATACAATGCATATAAAACTATTTTCGATTTGTATTGAAATACAACTTAAAATTAAATTTTTTGCTTTTAAAATTATTCAATTCATGTATGTATTTTTCTCAAAGAGAAGTGCACACTATTAATAAATTCCAGTAACTTTTAATTTGTGCCACGAACATGACAGAAAGTTTAAAGTTACTTAAGTTTTGATAAATGAATTAAAATGTAACTTTTGCACAGTGCGTACAAACCATAAATATCACTAAATTCTGGTAGAACATCGGCATCATACCGTAATCCCAGACCAATCAAATAACTTTACTAAGCATAAACTCAGAAACTGGTTTGGTTATTTTAAATGATGGAAATAATAATATTGAATTTGAAGGCTGAAAAAAATATTTAGAGAATTTTACCTAATATATATTGTACTGACAGATCAGATATCAGGTGTGTTGCATTGTATATTGTTGTGGGTAATACTTCGTTCCTCGTACAATGTAATTAACTTTTTGACCTAAGTTCGAAAAAGAGAAGCTTATTAATACTCATTGTAGTAACTACAATTTTATGAAGAAAATTGGCGCAAATACAAATGAATAAACAAATAACAGTATCTTTGCTTATGGTTATCTAGGGATGGTAAAAAAACATTTTAAACCGTTTTTTATATGTTTTTAATTGTTTTAATAAAAGTTTTAAAACATCGAAGCTGATATTAAAATTTAAAGTGACACTTAGTTGAAGTTTAAAACTCCAATCAAGCCCTAAAAATTTGAGGTAACACAAATTCGGAAGTCAAATTTTCGTGACACTTGGTCGGAGTTTAAAAATAAATTATTGCACTTTGACTGGTAAATTTTGATTAAAAAATATTTTAAACAATTAAAAATCAAACAATCGAGTTTTTAAGATCGTGTTTTAAAACATTTGCCATCCCTATAGTTATCCTTTAATTATAAATACTATATATTTTTAATCATTAAACGTATATTTATAATATTTTATACTTTACTTTAAATTATAAATAAATTTAAATCACATACATAAAAGGTATGGACGAAGATGTCATTCAAATACGCAACAGCTAGTTTATACATGAATTTGGATTGGAAAAATTCACATTTTCCGCATAGAAATTCACAAGTCTCAGTTTTAAAAATTATTGTTTGAGAAATATAGATTTCACAATTATCGGATTAACTTTAGAATCTCTTGTATTTGAGATACAAAATTATACATCTAAATAAAGTAAAATGAATATATACACACTTTTACACTGATTATGTTTCTGTTAAATTTCTTATATTGGATAT